CACGGATTCGGCGGCAATTCGGCTGCGGGTATGCCGAAGCCGCGGGACCGGTGGACCTCCCGCAGGCACGCCGCCGAAGCCGCGGGACCGGGGACCTCCCGCAGGCATGCCGCCAAAAGCAGCCTGCCTGCCATGCTTGGGCGGCAAAAAAGCTAGAAAGCAACAGAGAGTCCTGGGGCACCTTTAAGACTTACAGATGTATTGGAGCATAAGCTTTCATGGGTGAATGCCCATGACATACATCCGACGAAGTGGGCATTCACCCACGAAAGCTTATGCTCCAATACATCTGTTAGTCTTAAAGGTGCCACAGGACTCTCTGCTGCTTTTTACAGATCCAGACTAACACGGCTACCCCTGATACTTGACCAAAAAACTAGAGCCGCCCCTGTTTCTACAGTAACATTTATAGGACCAATCCTGCAAACTACCAAATGTCGGTCAGACGACCATGAATAGTCCATGGAAACCAGTGAGCTTCTCAAAACTGTAAACACTTATTGACACCCTTGAAACTACACAAGATAGTAAGCAGCACCCTTGATAATGTTTGCAGAATGGAGCTTGATATTGTTAAAACTGTTCAAGAGCTGTGCAAAAAGGCTGAGTGAAGGCTGTTGTAGGCATAACTTTTCACTTTCCTGACATTTTTGTGCTTGATTTCTCTGTCTAAATATTGATTTGCTGTATGTTTTTACATTTAATGGACCTGTAGAATCTGATTCCCAAAACCATGTAATTCCTTGTGTTAGAAAACAAAAAGGCTGTGGCCTTCATCTTGCAAACCATTCCATGTGGGGGAACCCCTGTGATGATCAGATTGAGGTTCTGTGTGGGGTTCTGTGTGGGTCCTCCAGCACAGATGATCTGGTAGTTTCAGGGTTTATCACTTTAATGCGGTGTCCAGCTAGTTACACCCATTTTCAGATTCCTAGTTGCTTGTTCTTTGGAAAAGGTGCCAGTCCTGTCATATATTTCATTGTGTACACGTCTTCCTTTAGGGAATATAAGTATTTATAATATTTATTTATTTGTATATTTGATCTTTATAAAATTATTATTTTTAATACAAAAATCAATACCTTTTCATTCAATACATAGATTTCAAATGCTCAATACTGGAAGATCTTAGGAGAAGCCTTTCAAAACTGAACCAATGTGTGAATGAATAATGAAAGAAAGAACATACGAGCAAGGAAACTGATTATTATAATCCCTTTAAAGCATGGAACAGATAAACAACAGCAAGGAAAATATTATTTAAAATGTGATGAAAAGTTCCTTTTAAAAGCTGATAATGCTGTGTTTGATAAGCCCAACACAATATAGAACAATGTTATCTCCAGGTCATTTTTAAAGGGAATATATAATAGGTGCAGAATAAAAATAATATAGAAAATTATTATTTTTATTATAGACTTCTAGATGGTATGGCATGGTCACATTAGAAATGTACAGAGAGATTAGATTCTATTTCTTTTCTAATCTAAGGCACTTACATTTTCATTTGCCATAAAACAGCAATTATATTTTTGATTAAGTTTCAAGCCCCATTCACTGTAGGTTATGCACTGTACTCATTGCTGAGTCTAAGAAATGTGTTTATATTTCCTGTCTCTTCACACACTAGTGATCCAAAAGAAATAGCAGAAATCCTTCTGATTCTAATGGTTTTAGATCAGTCATATGGGTCAGATGGTCCAGGATTCAAAATCTGTTCATTTGGAGTCACATTATCCATTGAAAGCAAGGCTATTTACTGTTTAATCTGTTTAAATGACATGCTGGCATTTGTATATGATGATGGAAAAACAGGAAAATCGTGTCTCTAAAACAAAAGAATCACAGTTTAAGAGACAGACAGACAAAAGAATAGGACTTAAAATTGGAGTCACGCTAAGGATGAATTTGGTCTATTGAAGTACAGTATTAAAATAGCTATGACCTAATCCTGTTTGTGCAGTTAAGGGTTGCAGGAATGGATCTCTTAAGTTTAGTCCTCTAATCTGCTAAAATATTAGTGGTGTAGCATTACTGCCAGGCCTACTGACTTTATGAAGCTTAAAATATAAATACTTTAAAGCTCTTTAAGGCCTGAAAACCTAGGTCTGGAAAAAAGAAAGCATATTCCATGGGACTGGTGTGGTTTGTTATGTGAATAACATAGGGTCCAATCCTGTACAATGCTAAATACCTCAAAATAGCACTCAACACTTTGCCAGACCAAGCCCATGTTATCTATAAAGAAGCTTGCAGTATTGCTAAAATGTTCTGTATGCAAACACAACATGAGAGCTTTCTTGCCTCTAACTTTATTCCCCCATGGACAGACGTGGGGCTGTCCAAAATTTGCCCATCTGAGTGAGGGTCATATTGGCAACTTCCCAGAAGCCTCATCTGCATAGAATAGAGCCCGTTGTATTTGCTTTCATCCTCAATACACAGCTGCTTCTAAGTTGCATGGTTCCAGTCAACCTGTTACAGAAAAGGGGTAGACATACCCAAAGTTCAGAGTGTATCGGGATCTGTTGATTGGTCTGCCCCATGTCTAGCTGCCCAATCTTTGCTAATTGCCTCTGCATCATCTCTTTGCTTCTCCAGCACTGACTGGTTCTCCCTTCCAACAGTCCCACAGAGAGGCAAACCTCATCTTGGGTCCCACGTGTTCAGGAGCTGGTGAGAGGATGCAGGACTAGCTTGGAGTTCAGTGAGGACATTTTTGAAGGTGGCGGGGGGCGTGAAAGGAAAGATGGTCCAGTCCAGTGGTTAGGACCTGGGACACCTGAGTTCAATATCCCATTCCACGATAGACTTCTTTTGTGACCTTATTCTGTCTAACTAACAGGGGTGTTGTAAAGGTAAATACATTAAAGATTGTGAAGTGCTCAGACACTACACTGATTGGAGCTATAAGCACCTATCCTGGATTGACTGATGGATGTAGGAGTTTAGTGGAGGACTTTAGCTGAAGGCTCGGCTCTCCTCACCCTCCCTCCCCCACAGCATATCTCTGACACCTTCCTTTCCACTTCATTATTCCCTGCACTATTCCAACACTCCACCTCACTACTGTCCCCATACTCCCAGCTCAGACTAGCCAAAAAAAAAGCCAGCCCTCCCACCCCCAGACCCTGATTCCTGGCTCACACAGTGACAGGGAAGACAGGGAGAGGAGCTCAGACTTCTCCCAGAGAAGCCCCTCCCTCCCCCCAAGATCATACATGGAGAGCAAGGAAAGGGGCTCAGAGGAGGGAGGGGATACCATGGGCTGACAGATCCCCTCCCTCCTCTTGCCAACCAGCTCCAAATCCCCAATCCCAATGTCCTCCCCACCCTTCTACTTCCCCTAGTACTCCTGCCCCAGACCTTAAAAAACGGACACTCCAGCAGGAGTGCTATAACCTCCCCTTCTCCCTGAAGACCCGCCCCTGCCCTGCCCCTTCCACCCAGGCCTCACCCCTGCCCTGCCTTTTCCCCCAAGGGCCCGCTCCTGTCCCGCCCCTTCCCCCTGAGGCCGCGCCCCTGTTTGCTCCTCTTTCCCCATCCCTCCATCACTCACTGCTTTTCCCCTCTGCCCGCCTCCCTGCGAGGGTTGGGAGGGACTCGCCTGCAGAGCGTGGGCGGGAGCTGCATCTGCCCGATGCAGATAGGAGGCGGTCCTGGCTGAGTAGGGGCTGGCGCGGGTAATGACTTGGCACCTTCCTGCGTCCCCCACCCGAAGTAACTGGACTTTGGGTGTCAATAGATCTGACCGGACACCATCAGGTCCCCTTTTTGACTGGACTTTCTGGTCAAAAACCGGCCACTTGGCCACCCTACTACCAATGCCTTTCCCTTCCTCTACCATTTATCCTCCTCACCATAATCCCTCTCCCCTCACTGCAGCCCCAAAGCCTTCTCCACCTATATCCCCCACTACTCGACCCCAATCCTCTCCCCCCAGCACTGCTCTCACAGTTCCACGTTCCCCCTCACTACTGCAACACCCCAGAGTCCCTAGTTGTGCAGCGAAAACACGTGTCAGAATCTAAAAACGTTATGAGCATGTCATCTTAGGGGGCTGTGTAACCGGAGCCCCTTGACCTTAACCCCACTCAATTCCATGGTTCGAGAAATAAGGATTAGATTATCCTTCCTTGTCTTTCATCTTCCCTCTAGTTAAGCAATGCTCAGTGCTGGCTCTCTGCTATAATAGCCCCCGAGACAGAAAAGGGGTGTGTGTGTGTGTGTGTGTGACAGGGACCCCTTGCTGAAGTGACCCAGGTCTGACCCTCCTCTCCCCCCGGAGGGTACAACACCCAAGCCAGCCTGCCACTCGAAGAGCATTGAGAAGAGACGTTATTTAAACACACAGCGCTTCACAAGCGCAACTGAGCCCGGCCGGAGCAGCCCCGATCCCTGTACATGTGGTCACACCGGGCACGGCTTCCACGACCCCAACTCCCCTCTGCCATTACTCCAGCCGCACAGGGCAGAGGAAAAGTCCTCCAGCAGCCTAGAGGGGCTGGCCGCAGGTGTGCTCTAGCCCAGCCGCGCTCTATGGTGCGCGGGCACTTCCGGCTTCTCTGCCGCCTGGAGGATGAGTGTCGCCGGGGAGCGGCCACGTGACTCCTCGGGGCTAGGGCCCGAGTTCGGCCCCTCGGCCCTGGGGACCAAAGAGCAGTGAGTCCCGGGCGCGGCGCGGGGCCTGCCCAGCACCTTGGGCGTCGCAGCCCCTGGCAGAGTCCCGGGAGAGCGCAGGGTTTCGTTCCCTAGTGGGCAGGCCCTGGGTTTGTGTTTGCAACCAAGGCTCAGGCCCGGGCTTTTCAGAGGGGCTGCGGCCGTTAGGCTCCCAACTAGGGTTGCCAGTTTGGGATGGACGTATTCCTGGAGGTTTCATCACATTGACATGATCTTTAATTAAAGATTCTTCTTTAATTCCTGGAGACTCCAGGACAATCGGGTTGGCAAAATTGTCCCCAAGCCCATTGACTTTCATTGGGACCTTGGTTCCTGCTTCCTCTGGCGCTGCTGAGCCCTGGTGATGTCTGCGCTGCGGTTGCGATTTGTCATCCCCAGCCCGGGTGGGCAGGCTGGCGAGTTGCATTAGGGCATTGAAATAGTGTTGTGGCTTCGGCGATGGCTGGGTATATGTCCCCTGGGGATCAGGAAGGCTTGTACATGGGTGCTAGCCAGACACTGCCCAAACCTTTGACCCCAGCATAGGTGCTGGAACTATGGGTGCAAGGGGAGCTGCCGTAACCCCGGCTTGAAGTGGTTTCCATTATATATAGGGTTTACAGTTTGGTTCATTGGCTCTCAGCACCCCCACTAAAAAGATTGTTCCAGCATTCCTGGATCATGCTGCCATTTCTAACGTGCGCTCCAGCAGAGCTAGCATATATCATGTATTCCTGAGCTGGAAATCAAACCTCCCTGCTGATACCATTTGGGCTTGTCTACACAGAGAAATTGACTGCTATAGCTATTCCAGACTAGCTCCCCCTGTGGACACTCTGTGGAAATAATCAGAGTGTGATTTCGAAGCAGAATAGTTCATTCCTCAATAGCTATTCTGGGCAATTTCCCCATGTAGACAATTGTAAAGTAAAAATTGTCAGTTTTTTGTAATTTCTTATTAATGACATTTTCCCCAGGCACTAGATCTCAGCAAAGTTAGTTGCATCTTGCTCTCCTTGTTTCAGTCTTTTTTTCTTTTTTTAATTTGATTGTGGAGTTTAGGAGGAGAGCATGTGACTTTAAGTATGTAGCAGTGTGTTATAGGCCTAATATTTTCTCTTGAACCTGAGGAATGAATCCTTAGTAAATTGTACAATTTCCAATTATTCTTCATTGCTGCTACAGAAAAAAAAGGTGTTTAAAAGAAGTTTTTTGGACTCTTTGAGAAAAATACATGATAGTACCCGCTACAAAAATTACAACCTTAGAAGTTGGTGGTTCTGAAAGCTTTTTATAATCCTACAACTCGAAAGCAGTTCCATTTTAAAACCCAAAATTTAAATAAGAGCTAAAATATTTCAAGTTTTAAGCTCAATCTCCGGAGAAGTCAGAAAAATCGAATTCCTCCCCTCCCCCCAATGCAGTTCATATCTAGCAACCTGCACCTTTTCAGTTCACTCTGATCATCCAGCGTTATCTGTACTGTGGACAAATGTTCCACATCAATTTGTATAATATACAAATAAATCTTTGACTGAGCAATACCATGGAGAACGTAACAAGTTCTAACATGGATCATAAAATAACTGAGTATGGCATTCATTTGTGTCTCAGATTTTGTAAGGGTCAGATTGGTAGTGATTTCTTTTATTTTTGCTTGATATTCTCAGAGTTTGTAAGGAGCTTCACACTTTTCTGGAGCCTTTCAGCACTCAAAAGGAACATTACAGTTTATGAGTACGACAAACACCATTATAACCTTATTGATCTATCTTGGCATTAAAATGCTTACTGGAACATGCGCTGTCCTTGCAAGATGGAGACTTTTGATGTAATTTGGCAACTTTACACTGTTCCATCCAACGGGATCCAGCCACTGGAAACAGGTTTCAGAGTGGTAGCCGTGTTAGTCTGTATCAGCAAAAACAACAAGGAGTCCCTGTGGCACCTTATAGACTAACAAATTTATTTGGAAATAAGCTTTCATGGGCTAAAACCCACTTCATTGGATGCATGGAGTGAAAACAGTAAGCAGAATATATATTATAGCACATGAAAAGATGGGAGTTGCCTTACCAAGTGTGGGGTCAGTGCTAACAAGGCAATTCAATTAAGGTGGAAGTGGCCTATTCTCAACAGTTGACAAGAAAGGGTGAATACCAAGGGAGGGAAAATTACTTTTGTAGTGCTAACAAGGCCAATGCAGTCAAGATGGCCCATTTCAAACAGTTGACAAGAGGGTGTGAGTATCAGCAGAGGGAAAATTACTTTTTGTAGTGACCCATCCACTCCCAGTCTTCATTGAGGCCTAATTTGATGGTGTTCAGTTTTCAAATTAATTCCAGTTCTGCAGTTTCTCATTGGAGTCTATTTTTGAAGTTTTGTTGTTGAAGAATTGTCACTTTTAAGTCTGTTATTGAATGACCAGGGAGATTGAAGTGTTCTCCTACTGGTTTTTGAAGGTTACAGTTCTTGATGTCTGATTTGTATCTATTTATTCTTTTGCTTAGAGATTGTCCGGTTTGGCCAATGTACATGGCAGAGGGGTATTGCTGGCACATGATGGCATATATCACATTTGGTAGATGTTCAGGTGAATGAACCCCTGATGGTGTGGCTAATGTGGCTAGGTCCTATGATGGTGTGTCCCTTCAATAGATAAGCGGACAGAGTTGGCAACAGGGTTTGTTGCAGGGATTGGTCCCTGGGTTAGTTTTTTTGTTGTGTGGTGTGTAGTTGCTGGTGAGTGTTTGCTTCAGGTTGGGGGGCTGTCTATAAGGAGGGACTGGCCTGTCTCCCAAGGTCTGTGAGAGTGAGGGATCGTCCTTCAGGACAGGTTGTAGATCCTTGATAACGCGCTGGAGAGGTTTTAGTTGGGGGTTGTAGGTGATGGCTAATGGTGTTCTATTACTTTCTTTGTTGGGCCTGTCCTGTAGTAGGTGACTTCTGGGTACCCTTCTGGCTCTGTCAATCTGTTTCTTCACTTCACCAGGTGAGTATTGTAGTTTTAAGAACACTTGAAAGAGATCCTGTAGGTGTTTGTCTCTGTGTGAGGGATTGGAGCAAATGGGGTTGTATCTTAGAACTTGGCTGTAAACCAGTGGTTTCCAAACTGGGGTTCATGAAATGTTACAGGGAGTTCTCGGGGGAAATTCCCTAATGGCGGACAGAGCTGTCCTTAGGGACTCCGGGCAGCATGGGACCAGCAGCCCGGAGCCCTTGGACTTCCAAGAGCTAAGCAGATCAAAGTAAACACATCTATCACACTGAGGAGATTTAAACTTCAAGTCTCCTTATAAGAAATGGAAAGGGAGGGGGATATTTTTTTGCTGTTTTTAAAATTAAATAGGCAGATACTTTTAAAAACAATACTATTATGAAGAACAAGTTTAAGCTTTGCTGTAACGTGTGTTGTTTGCTTGAACTGCTCAAGACCTGAATGCTTGTATAAGAGGAGCTCTTTGAGTTGGCTTCTTAGATACCTTCATGCTGTTTCACATCTGATACTTCTTGATGAAACATAGGAGCCTTGTCTTATAACAAGCTTATTCAAAATGATGCAAGCTACGAAAGTGAGATCTTGGAAGAGTGTTGCCGTTTTCATAATGTAATAAAAATACTATAATGATAAATAATAATAATAATTAGTGTGTAATAAACATGTCATAAAAACAAATTTTATATTTCCAAGATCACTGCTTTTATAATTTATACTCAGGTAAAGGAGAAATTACCTGGAAATACTCATTTTTAGGAGGGGGTTCACGAGACTTGACATTTTGGTGAAAGGGGTTCACAGGTTGTTAAAGTTTGGGAACCACTGCTGTAGACAATGGATCGTGTGATGTGGTCTGGATGAAAGCTGGAGGCATGTAGGTAAGTATAGTGGTCAGTAGATTTCCGGTATAGGGTGGTGTTTATGTGATCATTTCTTATTTGCACTGTAGTGTCCAGGAAGTGGATCTCTTGTGTGGACTGGTCCAGGCTGAGGTTGATGGTGGGGTGGAAATTGTTGAAATCCTGGTGGAATTCCTCAAGGGCCTCCTTCCCATGGATCCAGATGATGAGCGAAGATGTCATCAGTGTAGCGCAAGTAGAGTAGGGCGCAAGGGGACGAGAGCTGAGGAAGCGTTGTTCTAAGTCAGCCATAAAAATGTTGGCATACTGTGGGGCCATGCAGGTAACCATAGCAGTTCTGCTGACTTGAAGGTATAAATTGTCCCCAAATCTGAAATAGTTGTGGGTGAGGACAAAGTTCAGCCACCAGTTTTGCCGTGACATTATTGGGGATACTGTTCTTGATGGCTTGTAGTTCATCTTTGTATGGAATGTTGGTGTAGAGAGCTTCTACATTCATAGTGGCTAGGATGGTGTTTTCTGGATTGTCGTTTCCTCAGGAAGTCAGTGGTGTCTCGAAGATAGCTGGGAGTGCTGGTAGCGCAGGACCTGAGGAGAGAGTCCACGTAGCCAGACAATTCTGCTGTCAGGGTGCCAGTGACTGAGATGATGGGGCGTCAAGGAGTCCCAAGTTTATGGATCTTGGGGAGCAGATAGAATACCCCTGGTCGGGGCTCTAGGGGTGTGTCTGTGTAGATTTGTTCCTGTGCTTCTTCAGGGAGTTTCTTGAGCAGATGGTGTAGTTTCTTTTGGTAACCCTCAGTGGAATCCGAGGGTAATGACCTGTAGAATGTGGTGTCAGAGAGTTGCCTAGCAGCCTCTCGTTCATATTCCAACCTATTCAAGATGACTATAGCACCTCCTTTGTCAGCCTTTTTAATTATAATGTCAGAGTTGTTTCTGAGGCTGTGGATGGCATTGTGTTCTGCACATGGGGCAAGTGATGCTGCTTTTCCACAATTTCAGCCCGTGGGTTTTAGCCCACAAAATATTATGCCCAAATACATTTGTTAGTCTCTAAGGTGCCACAAGGACTCCCCGTTGTTTTAACCACTAGAGAATCTCCCCTAGGTTAGCCTTAGCATATAGTCACTCCCATGCCACCTCTTAAATCTTGGTTGGTGGTATAGGATAGGTATGGGATAAAGAGATGTGACTGGGGCTCCCAGCAATTCCTAGCTCCTATAACAATCCATTAGGGCTGTTGGCAGCTAGTGGAGGTTATAACAGTCTGACCTACTCTGGAGGGCTAACTTAATGTGAAGAACAACCCCAGGATCAGGGGAATGCAAAAACACACTGTTGCCCCCTGGCCCATACCCCTCCTGGGTTGTGCTATACGCTTCTCAAACGGAGCTGGAAATCTGGCCCTTTGTTTTGATGCATGTGTCTAATTTGGGAAATTCAGTAGCTTATGGGTTGGACAGGGGGTGTATGATATGTGAATGCAGTCTCCACCTGTGCCCTTTCTTCTTGATCATTCATGTAAGTCATTCCTGTGTTAATTTCATATTCTGTCCTCTCTTCCTCTCTAGTTGGGATGCTGCATATGAAAGTGAATTACAGATTTTTCAGGAGAGTGGAGATGCTGGGGAAATTTGGTAAATAAAGAGAATAACTATCAAATGACATATCCATACAATATTTTTATTCTTTTGAAAATATATGGAGTAAAAGCAAAATAAAAAACTCATTGAGTCACTGGATAGTTCAAAGTATTGGTAATATGATATGGAGCTTTTCACCTTGGAGTCACCAATTCCTATTTGGCCCTATTCTGTTGTGACTGAAAATTGTTAGTTACTCCCTGAAAATTAATTGTTGTGTGTGCAATTAGTTGGTGGTTGCAGTCTGTTTTACTAGTAGGCACATACTCATTTCACCAAGGACATCCATTATTATCATCAGAGACTAAGAATTAAATAGGTAGCCTAGGGAAGCTTCCAGTGCAAACTTTATTTTATGTGGCCATAAAGAGGGCCTTAGTTTCCAGTACTGATAATCCCAGCAGGTTTTAAGCCATTTGGTTTACTTAAAACTTAAACAAATCAGACTTGGAATATGATCTATGTAGGTTGTTGCCTAGATGCTATAGTGACAGGTGCTTTATGAATGCCAGATAGGGAGAGAGATGAAGTACAGTTGCTGCAGTGCCTTTCATGTGTCTTGGATATGTTAATTACTTAAGCCTCTGTTTCTGATAGGTTTGGAGAAGAAAGCATGATTCGTTTAATCAGATGGATGGAAAAACAAAAGATCCCTCTGGACAGCTCTGTGCTTGACATTGGAACTGGAAATGGTGTTTTACTTGTTGAATTGGTTGGTATTTTGTAAAATTACAGAATCAAAGCTAAGAACAGAGAATATAAATGTACTGCAAATGAGAGAATATTTCCCTGTGAAGCTAAGTTGCTCAGGCTTCGGCTTCAGCCCTGGGTGGCAGGGCTTGGAGCCCCAGGCTTCAACCCCAGGTGATGGGGCTTCGGCTTTCTGCTCTGGGCCCAAGCAAATGTAATGTCAGCCCTGCTTCTCGGATCCCCTGAAACCTGCTCGTGGCCCCCCCATTGGGCCCCGGATCCCTGGTTGAAAACCACTGGTTTAGATTACAACTTCTTGGGAATGTCTTCTGTTTCTCTGAGCACTTTAAAGGGAACTGTAAATTTGAAGTCTAATCAGTTTCAAAAACTGTTATAAATAATATCTGGTTCTGTACCAGCTTCTGAATTCCCCTGCCATGGTTTGTAGACTTACTATGATCTTTTCTTATGTTTTAGCATGCTTGTCTCTCCTCTATTGTTGTGTGAAAGACCCACAATAACAAGAGAGAGAACTGACATACTGTAGTATATGGGAAATAGTGAAATTGACTAATACACAAAGGGCTGTCAAATGCACAAAATAGAGATGTTCCCCCCTTGCATCTTGGTTATACTACCCTTAGCATTACTTGTGAAAATAGTAGTTAAAATATTTTCAGGCAGAAGTGTGGGTTTTTTAAGTTGATGGTATCCCTTTAATTAAAAAAAAAAGTGATAATTTTTCTCTTGAGGTGGGAACACAGCATCAGGTATGTTTTAAAGACTGATATTGTTATTTCATAGGAGCACAACAGGGCATGAAGTTGAGCAATCTTCAGTAAGTTTAGTTATGAGTAGTTTTGTGTTCCTTTTCACATTTTTGATTAAATGCTTTGGTAGAATGTCTTAGCTGGTTTAGATTGAGTCAGTGTATGGTATTCACCATCCCAGCACTTCTCCATAGGCTTTAGCAGTTACAGCAGAATTTAAGTTTGTGTGCGGCTCTTATATTTTTTTTAAAGTTTATAGTCTCCATGAATGTGAGCCAATGCTGTCTTGTCTTCCTAAATCTGCAGATAGACAGAAACAGTAGCACTGAGAAGTATAACTGCCCCATCTATCTCATTAGAGATGTTAATTTGAAACCTAATAGTTTTAAATTCACGGTTAACACTTTCACTGCAGAAGAATGTAGTTATTTTGGATCATACTTGAGTATTGTACCATCCTTGAATCTGACCCCTGATGTAACTTGTAAACATACAATGAATTTTTATTCCATATCAGGAAAGGTAAAGATGATCTGGGAAATCCACTTCTAAAGGCTATTGGCACCGCCTCCCGCCCCCCCCCCCAATTGTTCCTCAAGTTATAAAGTGCCCCAAAGTACTGTGGTTTGACAAGGGAAGTACTTGTCAGTATTTAAGTGAAGTACTATTCTGAAAAATGATCGTGATGTTGATTATTTACTCTCAACTCGAGATGAGATTTGCTCAGTTTATAAGAAAAAGCATTAGTTTTTCCAACTGGCAGCTCTGTAATCTCAGCCCAGGATCTGGAAGTAATACTGGGATTCTTCTGGCTCATGCATCATCAACAGTAATAAAATTCTACAGTTGGAAGCTGGGACCTGATAATTCCATAGAAACTGCAATGCTGAAAGAGCCAACATGAAGTTTATTAACTAAATAGGATGGAACATCTCTGGAACATGGTTGTACAGGGTGTGTGGTGGGCTATCATCAGAGCAAGAAGAGGTGAAGTGAAGTCATATCTTGGTTCCCAGTGGGAAAGTAGACACACGTATAAACTGTCAGGAACAATAAGTGGGATTATACAAAGAAAAATTATTCCCATGGTGGTTAATGCTGGTTGAAGCATTGTTTACTCCTGTACAGCAGGCTGTATATAGATGAGGCAAAGCTGACTGACAAAAGTAGGTGGCTCTAGAAGAAGTCAAGTAGACACAGAATGCCACATGCCAACATACCTTAAGCAGGTGCACCACATGAGTGACCATTGTGATGCTAACAGATCCTGATTCCCACCCACAGGCCAAAGCACCCCGAAGTGGGTACAGTACTCACATTGTTGTATGTATCATGCAGGCACAGTGGGGAAACTGCCATTCCACAAGTTCCAACAGACAAACTCTTGAAAACTTCCTCTGTCGTCCTTTCCTTTATTTTTCTCCTCTTTTCTTTCTGTCTCTGCTCCCAGTATTTGTTATCCCACAACCCACAATCTTGGGTCCTCTTGCTCTTTGGCATATGTGTATGATGAGGAGCCTGCAGACCTGCTTACTGAGGGTCTAGTGTACTGAATTGCAGAGAAGTTGTGACTTCTCCTGCCTCTGTGTTTGTGATGAGCTTTTCTCATTCAGCTACCTTTTCCTGGATACAGCACCAGGAATATAGCCCATTCACTATTAATAGCTATGGAAAGACTGATAGAGCAGTCAGGCCACCGCTTACGACTCTGACCTTTCTGTTTCCTGAATGGTAGGAGAGCAGAGAACATCTGGGACCCCTACTAACAGAGATTGTCAGTACATCCTTTAATGAGGGAAATCTACCACCTAATTCAGAACATGCAGTAATCTGGCCAACACTAAAGAAACCATTGCTCAGTGCTAGTGACCTCGCAAACTAGGACCCATATTTAACCTGCTTTTTCTAAGGACACTAATCAAGAAACCAGCAAAAAACATTTTCCAATACCAACTACCAGTACCATTGGTCAGGGCATGGTAAAGAGACATAATTGGTTGCTCCGTTGTGTGATTTTTTCCTGTCTGTAGAAGAGGGTAGTTAGTCCACTTACGTTCATCGGGAGCACTCTGCAGCACTCAGTATCATTGATCTCCAAACACTCTTGGCCTGTCCCAAGAGAATGTAGGTGAGCAGAAACTCCCTCAAGTGAATCATGTTGTTCCTCAAACACCAAATTGAGAGGGCTGGTATGGGAACTGTTCTTCCACCTCCAAAGCCCTCAACTATGAAGACTCACAAGGCTCTGGAAGCTCTGGGAAGACAACAGGGGCGGAAGTCTTAGCAGTACACAGCTCGTTGTCAAATCTTTCCATGCCAAATGTGAACAACACAGTCTCTCAGCTTTCCTGATGTTTAGCTAAAATTTAGAGCCTGTATTAAAAGCAGCTGGTTAAAGCTGAACTCACAGAGGTTATGCTGTTAGGAAGAAAGTGCTGCAAAAAGCATGTCTTTGTATATCCCCTGCTATCCAGGGCATCAGCCTTCCTATTAAGTCAGTGCACAGCCTTGGATCCCTTTGAACTTCTTAATGCCATTGGATTCCCAAATGGCCATCTTGTCATAAAAACATCTACTTATATCTGCTGCTGGCCAGAAGATCGCATCTTCCATGGTGGATTCAGACCTGGCCACTTGTGACATCCAGGCTTCATTTTTGCAATTAATTCTATCTAGGAATGAAACCACACACTCTCTGGTAAAACACCAGCAGATACAAGATGTCGTAACTCATCTGCTTAGGAAAAGGTTTGCCATTAACATATTAACTCTGCTCTGCTCTCTGCACTGGTTTATTGAGTACAGAGTCTAACTCAATGTCTGTATGGCACAGCACATAATTGGCTTGTGGAACTCACTGATAATACTGAAGCAAAGAACTCAGTAGCATTCAAATAAGGATTAGACGTTAATAATCAGACTATCCTATGCAATTACACCAGTTAGGATTAAAAGTATTAGGGATTTCGGTCTGCTTCAGGACAAATCAACTACCTGTCTGAATTTAAGAAACAATTTTCCCATAACTATGTTATTGTAGAATTGTCGAGTATGGAGGATTTATTCCTTCCTTTGAAGCATCTGATACTGGCCATTATTGTGATCTGTGTGGAAATTCCTGTTTTCTAGTTTCCTTTTTCGTGCAGATTAGAGGATGTATTATTGTGTTTTATAATTACTTCTGCAGCGTGTTACTTGTCATGGTTCTGCTCAGTTTTCCATCTATTGGAAGGAACTAGCTCTTAGTTAACAATTCTGTTGATGATGTACAAAATAGAATAAGAGCTCATGCTCCCATAGCTTTTTTGGTTCTACAGAGGCATCAGGAATAAAAATGAGTAAGCTTTTTTTTGTCATTAGGATGAGTAGAATTGACTTGGATTATACACAGGGAGCAGACCTGCTGAGTAAGGATAGTTTGCTAGTACACTGAGTAAGATTCTCTCTCTTTCTCTAGGCAAAATGTGGTTACACTAATCTCACTGGAATTGATTACTCTCCTTCTGCAATACAACTTTCTCAAAACATAATAGAGAAAGAAGGGCTGTCTAATATTAAATTGCAGGTAAGTGTTCAGAGGGATTATGTTAGGGAAAATAGAAAGCAATTGAACCTGAGAGATTAATCGAGTCACTTGATTTCAGATACATGTTAATATACTGACTACATTTTTTGAAATCTAATTGTAGTTCTGTTCACTTGAAGGGGACTCTAACCAACAGCTTATTAATACATCTGTATTTACCAGAAGATCTCTTGGTGAAGATTTTACTCCCCTTGACACCTGTGCAAAACTCCCATTTAGGCTAACAAGAGTGTCATCCCTGAGCAAGGGGAGAGACTAGATCACACTTTAAAAGATCAATTCTGTGTTCTAGAATATATACTCTGACTTTCAGGTAAGAAATAGCAGACTAAATATGTCAAACTACAAAAAATTCAACAGTGGTACAGACACCACTGCTTTTCATGCAGACCAGTTCATTGTTACCTTGTGTTCCCCCTGTCTGGATGTTCTCTTTTCTTATACTGAGGGCAGGTCTACACTACAGTGGGGATCGATGCTCTGAGATCGATCCATTGGTGGTCGATTTAGTGGGTCTAGTAAAGACCCGCCAAATCGACAGCAGATCGCTCTCCGGTCGACCCCCGATGAGAAGAGTAAGGTATGTCAGTGGGAGATTTTCTCCCGTCGACCCCCTGTGGTGTAGAGCCCGCAGTAACTACACCTAAGGGACGTCGACTCCAGCTACGTTATTCACGTAGCTGGAGTTGCGTAGCCGAGGTCGACTTACTGCTATAGTGTAGACATAGCCTTAGAATAGATCATAAACTCCTTGGGCCATGTCACTTTTGTTCTGTTTATATGCTGCCTAGCACTCCGGGACCCAGGTCCATGACTGGGGCCTCTCAATGCTGCCACACCGCAAATAGTAAATAATAATACCTTAGAGTGAACTTCCAAATACATTAAAGATTGTGAGGTGCTTAAATACTACTGCAATGGAGGCCAGCTAAAGCACTTTAAATAGGTAGGCATGTAGCTGGGCTCAACTAAAGATTTTTGCATAATGCAAAGGGAGAATCAAATTGATATGGCATCAAAATTATGCAAAGCAGTTGCATGGTAACCACTTCCCAAATAGACATAGTGTAAGGAACTCATGCAGCCCATGGGGAGGGATGGACTTGATCCTGTCTGTAAGGTACTCATACAGCCTGTGCAGAACTTGTAACTGAATTAGTATAGTTTACCCCCTATTGGTCATTGCTCACCAGAGGACGGCCAGGCTGGCTGTATAAGAGCTCAGCGAGTGCCATTCAGTATCTGCTCAGGGAAATGGCTGCCTGGCTTCTTATCCACTAGGTGCTATGTTGTGTGCTTGGAATAAAGCCTGAAACTGCTTCAGCTGATTCTGAGTCTGTTGTGAGTGTTATCTTGTTCCATGACACTTAGATGTTGTCAATTTTTGTGCCCTCACAAATGAAAGCACCAGTCTCCATTAGAGATGCAGCACTTCCCAAGTAAAAGATGATTATTTACATACTATGTACACTTTTGATTTAGGTAAAAGACTTCTTGACTCCATCAGCTGAGCTATCAGGATTTCAGATTTGTATTGACAAGGGAACCTTTGATGCCATAAGCCTTAATCCTGACAATGCAGCTGAGAAGAGGAAGCAGTATGTGAAATCACTCTGCACGGTGTTGAAAATGGAAGGCTTTTTCCTCATAACCTCTTGTAATTGGACCAAAGAGGAGCTGCTAAATGAGTTCAAGGAAGGTAAGTAGTGGGGCAGAGTTATCTGCCAACTTGTGGTTGTTTAAGGTTTCGGTAGGTAAATGTTAATGTCCTTTTATTGCCGTGTTTATTTGATCAGAGTGGGATTAGACATCACAGCGATAAAACGTGGGTGCGCGTCCTCAGCCTTATCCTCAGTACAACTTCCATCATTGTAGGCATGGGTAGGGAATTCTGGCTCCCACTTTACCAGTCTAGATGCAGTTCAGGAGTTTTATACCTTCCAACCTCAGAGGACAAGAATTGCAGGCAAGTTATTCTGGAGAAGAAGAGAATTATTTACCAGTATGGCTTTTTTCCTCTGGTCTTTAAAATAGATCCCCCATTCACCCACCCAGCTCACCTTTAAAATTGGGATACATTTTTATCTTTTCTCTGAGTCACAAAGGAACTGGCAGTTGTAGGCTGTGACATTCCATGTGCACTCACATGTCACTTGCTCAGTGAACCTCCTGATGGGTCTGAATTCTTTTACTTGCTAGTCAGCTTCTGAATCTCATGCCTAAAGCTTGAAACCCAAGTGTACTGAGAACGAGAATTGCTGGCAAATTCTTATCTTTTCTGTCATTAGTCTGCACAATGCAGCTAGCTAAGATTTTATTATCTATGGAGGAGTTTCAGCTATATAAAGAAGCAATATAAAACACAGAACTATAAACTTACAAAGTAACTAACTTGCTTGTTTTCCATATGAATTAAAAGTGGTTTGCAAAAGGTTATCCAAGGGAAGAGTAACATGACTTCTTCTTAATAAAAGCATTAATTTCTGTCTGGCAGGATTTGAAATTCTGGAGGAGTTGCCAACACCCAAGTTCTGCTTTGGAGGGAGAATTGGAAACAGTGTAACAGCCTTGGTTTTCCAAAGAAAAAAATAAGGCCATCCATCTTGGACAAATTAGATTAGCTGAGAAAAGAAAAGTCTTCACTTCAAAGTAAACCTGATGCAAAGGAGAGAGAGAGAGGAAACCCCCCCAGCATCTGTGTAAATAACTGCTCACTGAGTACACAATAAAACACAGTGCATGTGCTGTACTGCAATGGGCCTCCATAAAATTCAGGGCAAGTTATATATAACTGAAATGTTTCTAGGGTAAATTCTGCTCTTGTGCTGTTTCTCTTTGTTATAGCTTCATTTATTTCAACAAAATTGTGTGGGTGTAAGAGGAAAAATAGTGGCACTCTAATTTTTCAGAGACCATCTAAAACTATTCACATTACTTTTGCATTTGAAGTGTAAATATTTTTTTCCTATTTAATTTTTATTTTGGTTTCTAGTGACCAGTTTAAAATAAATTTAAGCAGTAATTGAATCATACAAAGCAAGAAGTCTTATTTCTGTGTTTGGCGTAATAATGAACGTGCTTTTGAGATCTAAACACTGGGCAATTTTTTATTTTATTTTTGTAAAGGAAATATGCATGTTACAGTGTAATTTGAAATCGGCCTTTAGTTAAATAAGGAGGAAAATGAGTGTAAAGATTGTAGCACTCGCAAGACATTATAATGTAGTGCTTTAGGATGGGATTTTCATAAGTGCTCAGAATTGACCTACTTCTACTTCCACCAAAGTCCATTGACTTCAGTGGGAGCAGCGTTAGGATAACATTGAGTGCTTTTAAAAATCCCTCCCTGAATCTCTAATATATGCTCACTAATACTGATCAGTACCAATTAAATACTTAAAGATGCTGTTTGGTGTTATTACAGCCTCTCAATAGCAGATATGCTTACCTATTTCAATATTAATTAATTGTATGCTAATGTGTTGAAGGGCCAGTTATGAACATCTCCTTCTCCAGTGAATTTTGTATGGCATTTTAGTTGCATAATACCCAAACAGAGACCGCAAAACCCCACACCCCCAGCCTAAAAACCCATGACTGATTATATTTATTTTTTTAACTCATGTTCATTTATTCGTTTATTATTTTATATTTGTGGAATAATGATATAGCTGCCTGGAGAGAGAAGAAAGAAATATTTCTCCTCCTTTTATGACTTGTTCCACGCACATTTTCAGATGGCAGTAAACATGACATTTCAAGCATCCAACAATTCCTATTAGGCAATTTGTTCTCATAGAAGAAGAATGTCATGTTTGCTCATCAGGGAAATGCTTTCCTAGTTCTCAGTCTGAGCAGGTTGGTTGGGTGCAGGGAATCCTCCCTTCCCCTCTGCTGGTCTAGTGCTCCCCCTCTGCAAGAAATAAGGACCAGAAGATCTGTACAGTAGGAGATCCTCCATCCTTAACCAGCCCCTAGTGTGGCATTCCCGAATTCCGCACCTCTTTGCACAGTGGAACTGTGCTAGTTCCTTTGAAAAATGACCCAACAGAAGTAAAGAGCAGGTTTTGGTCCCAAACAAATAGATTTATTTGTATGCTTAAGCAGCCTAGTATCCTTACCTATGTTCAAAGTAAAAAAAAAAGTTAGATGTGGTAATGTTACCATTTGAATAGCCTGTGGGGTAGTATTTACTACATCCCATCTAAAGGTTTCCAGCAGATAGGACTAGCAGTGCATGTAAGAGTTGCCCATCATCAGTTCATACCTTGGATATATTGATGAGATAACAATACATCTTTGGAGAGATGTTCCCAAGCCTTAAAATATGGGTCTGGATTTTTGTAATAAATTTGGGATCAGGTGGATCCAACACAAGCAGATATTAACTGACACATACACTATTATGGGGTGTTTGGATATGAGGCTTCTGTTTTATTCCCATCTGTAATCTTTGCTAATCTAGGAGTGATATAGGGTTTAAAAGCATCAAAATAAATCAACTATGATCGCAAACTACAGGAAATTCCTTTAATCAACTAACAGGAATTTAACCATAATTTCTCAGTCCATAAGACTTGCATGGCTTAGGCCTGTTATTGTTTTGTTTTGTTTTTTAAAATGACTGATTTATATTTTTATCCATGCAGACTATATAAAAATATAAAGTCTCTCCAACTATTTATTCAAAGCTTGATTTGAATAATTTTTACAAATAAATTCAGGCAAAATTGGTGATAGAACTGAAATTGGATCAATCCTCTGACATTTTATTTTATTTTTTCAGCAAAGCTTTTAACAGTAAAGGTTATAACGTCTCATCTTAACACTGGTTTGAAGATTTTCTATGGGCCCTATTGTCCACAGTGTGTGAGAGTTTCTTCTGGATGGTTTCCGTGGTGTGGGAAAGAGGTGGATCAGCTCCCCAAACCCATGGATCTTTGTAGGAAAATCTAGGCCCTGTGACTCACTGCAGTATTCCCTCCCAGTTCTCCTCAGCAGTATAGCTCGATCGGCAACAAGGCCTGCATAGGTGCTATACACTGCCTTCAAACATCTCCCCCCACCCGCTCTCCTTGAAAGGGAAAGGGGTGGGGAGGGGTTTGGTAGTGCAGAGGAGATGCACACAACTGTTCAAGGAGCACCGTCAACTTGGAAATAATCTTTCCATTTGCAAATGTTGTACCTAGTATTGTTACAATTAACTCCCCCTCCACCCCCAAAAGGTTACCGTAACTGGAAGTGTGTAGAGAGAGGCATTTCCCCCCTCCCCCCCCCGCGCCCAGGTAGCTTGCTTTGTGCATCTGTAAGCACTCTGGGTATAGTCAGTTTCAATGTTTAATTGATGGTCAGTTGTGTTTCCTTGGCTCGTGTATTACTCTGGGATGGACCTTACCTGCATGCTGTTCCTCAGGCTCTGCAAGAAGGCGTTTATCAGTAACAAGAGCAGTAAAACTAAAAAGGAAGAATCATTTGACAGGAAGTGGTGGAAGAAATGGGGTGGCCCAAGCAGGTTTGGTGGGGTTGATTAGTGGATTTTAATTCTAGAAGGGGCCAGTATGTCAACACAGGCAATAAATCTATCAGAGTGGTTCCTCCATCTAGTATCAAGTTCTCCTGCTCTTGGGCATGCCCAAAAGACTCTTCTAATCATAAACGGGAGCAGAAAAACCCATCTAAACTGGGTTTAAAGAGGATTTTTTCTAAAAAGAAAAAAGAGAACCTGTTTGAAGGATGCTCTGTCAGAAACCTGATTTGTTTTAATATTTGTTTTTTTAAAACTGGAGATTTCCAGTATGTCTTTAATATAAACTTCATCAGCTTGAATTTTTTCTTGACTAAATGGCTATGGAGATGACTTCTCAGAGACATTCTCTGTGTCTGGGTCATATGCTGTGCTCTACATTTCCTTACCAAGTTAAAGCCTACAAACATTTACTCTCATCAATGGAAAACCAACTTTTTAAAAGGGAGGTTGAGACATGCTTTGGAGCAGTGGTTCTCAACATGTGCATTTACTAGTTCACGGGGTCTTGGCTGGTCACACAGTGCTGGATCTCTTCCTTGTTTCCAGCTGCTGACCCATATTAAAAGAAGCTAAAGATACATTAAATACTTTCCTCCTGTTACTTTGCCAGGTAAACAATTGCTGTAGTTGCCACAGGTATGTTATGTGATCACTGTTGAATGTGAGGTTTGTGGCTAATCACCACCCATGAACCGATAAAGGATTAGACCTCAGACTTTGCCTGTGGAACCGAAGTCTGGTTGGATATCACGGCAGGACTGCTGTTGGGGTGTGCGGTTCAGCAGAAGGGGAAGCAGGGAAGGGTTTCTGATACAAAGCCCACTGAAGTCAATGGAAGTTCTCCTATTGACTCCAGAAGGCTTTGCATCAGGCCCAATGGGCCCAATCTAAAGCCAGCTGAAGCCAATGTAAAGGCTCCCATTGAAGTCAATGAGCTTTGGATCATGCTGTATACAAACAAGTGGGCTGTGAGCAGGGTATTCTCCATGATGGATCCACAGATTTGGAATTTATTTCCCTCCCAGTCCTCTTGAGCAGTTAAACCTTCAGGGCCTGGTGCAAAGGTGGTATGATCTAGGCATTTGAGGTAGCAGTGCATTAAGGCTTGGAGAGGTTTGTTGTGGGGCTTGTTTTATCTGCGGTCCTGTATGTATTTTACATTGAGAAAACCAGGCCCTTGGATTTAAATTGTACTGGGAAAGTAAACTATCAAGGTGCCAGAATTTGGATGGGGGCCTAATTCTTCATTGACCCTTAGTCCCACCTATGTGGGGTTGGCATTTTGAGTTCTTCTTTTCCATTCCAGTCTGTCTTGAAGCAGTTCTTTGGAAACTCCATAGCTAAATCAAATTCTTTTGTATGACATCCATCCATCTAGTTTTGGGGTCTTCCAACCCTTCTTTTAATCTCTACGTCTAAGTTTAACACCCTGTTTACTATATATTCTTCTTTTCACATGCCCACACCATCTAAGCCTGGATTCCTTCAGCTTTTTTATAATTGGTAACACCTTCACACTTCCCCTAATTCGTTTGCTCCGAACATGGTCCACCCTTGTAATGCCAAGCATTCATCTTAACATTTTCATTTCCACCGTATTCAAGATCTGCTCCTCGCTCTTCCTCAGGGCCCAGGATTAAGAGACACACGAAAGTGCAGGCCTAATTACCATCTTGTAGATCTTACTTTTTCAATTTGATAGGCATTCTCCTATCGCAGATCAGTGCAGTCACTTCTTTCTATTTAGTTCATGCCTTCCCTGTTCTACTAATAGGGGGCAGAGGGGCCTGATTATTTTTTATAAATACACCTCTACCCCAATATAACACTGTCCCCGGGAGCCAAAAATCTTACCACGTTATAGGTGAAACCTTGTTATATCGAACTTGCTTTGATCCGCTGAAGTGCGCAACCCCCCCCCCCCGAGCACTGCTTTACCACTTTATATTCGAATTTGTGTTATATTGGATCGCGTTATATTGAGGTAGAGGTGTAAATGAAATAAGTATGTATTTAAGAGAACAACTCTTGTGGCATTTCTACACATGGGACTCTTTTAGAGCCACTGGGTAAATATGTTCCCCAAAACAATTGATTCTTGGTAAATAAAGATCCCCCTCTTCTTCACAACAAAACACTTAGTTGAAACACTGCAGAAAAGGACCTAGGGGTTACAGTGGACGAGAAGCTGGATATGAGCAGGGCTGGCTCCAGGGTTTTGGCTGCCCCAAGCAGCCACCAAAAAAAAAAAAAAAGCCGCGATCTGCGGCGGCAATTCGGCAGGAGGTCCTTCGCTCCGAGCCGGAGTAAGGGACCGTCCGCCGAATTGCCGCCGAATAGCTGGACGTGCCGCCCCTCTCCAGAGTGGCCGCCTCAAGCACCTGCTTGACAAGCTGGTGCCTGGAGCCGGCCCTGGATCTGAGTCAACAGTGTGCCTTTGTTGCCAAGAAGGCTAACGGCATTTTGGGCTGTATAAGTAGGGGCATTGCCAGCAGATTGA